TGAACTCTTCCGCCAGGCATCCATTCCAAAGAACTGGCACATAAGTGAAGGAGACACACTGCATTATCACATCGATAATAGTGCTAGGAAGACATAACTCTTCCAAGGTCTCGCGTAAGAAGCTCCAACTTAGTCGATCATAAGTCTTGGCTAAGTTTTAGCACCATCTGGCCCTTTCTTCCTTTCTTAAGACCCATAGAGTGGACCACCTTTTGAAGAATGACAATGTTATCCATGATATGATGACCTGGAACTAAAATCGTCCGAGTTTGGTGAACCGAATTTCTCATTAGTGGTTTGCTTCGCTAATCAACACCTTTGTGAGTCTTATACGCTACAATGCATAAACCGATCTGGAGAAACAAAGTTATGTACTCCGGGCTTTCCTTCTTTGGGATAAGACACAACAGAGTATCGTTGACCACCTTAATGCAATGCGGGTTAGCCATACAACCAACAATGAAGTGCACCAAGGATTAACCGACTGTGGCCCAACACTTCTGATAAAAGAGAGGGAGGAACTCGTCTTTACCGGGAGCCTTGAAACCCCCTATACTCTTGATTTCCTCTCAAACCTCCAGATAAGTAAATGTCAAAGCAACCATTTCCTCCTCACAACTAGTCATCCGGTTGAATTTTGCTGGTAACCTCGGTGCTGCCACTAGCTCTGCTAAGAAGAGGGAATTATAATAGTTCCTCATCCTCAAAGACCGGTCTTCACTCTCAGCACACAACCCCAAGACCTTGTTAAATCTGTGCCGCTTCAAGGTGGAAAGGTGATAGAACTTAGTATTCCTATCCCCCTCTACAATCCATGACGCTCGCAATTTTTGTAGCCAAAGAAGGTTCACTTGCCAAAGCATTTTCTCTAACTCTGTCCGATTTTCTTGATCCTCCAAAAGGGACACTAAAGTCGGTTGGAGTTTGTTCCACACCTCAAACTTCAAGAAAGCCCCACACGACTTCCTCTTTTTGTGTATAAGGTTCTCAATTACCTCCCAATTCCATTTTTGCAAGGCCTCTGAACATGATGAAGTTGGTGGGGTAAGGGCTCATAAGCACTCCACGAAGAGGACAATACCTCATGGCCTAACCAAGCTGCCAAGAAAAGGAAAGGACGGTTGATCAACCTGCATGATCGAGCTTTAAATTTATAAGTCGATGCACACTCTCTATTCAATCCTAACTAAGCCAAACATAACCTAGCTAGGGTTGTAGTAAAGCGGCTCAGTCGAATTCCAAGGGAACCCTAAGCTGAATATTACTTTGCTCCTACTCCTAAACAACCAACCAAGTGATTGGGAGATCGCTAGAGATGAGACGGTTTTCTAGGGTCAAATCCTCCTAGCTATGGTTGTCAAGTAGGGTTAAGAGAATGTGGTGAATGAGCTCTTTTCCATGGGCCTTTGTGATTATCATCACGCCTTCGAGTACGCCTCCCCTAAACCCATGTAAGTCACCTCGATCTACGCTATCACATTCGGGGCTTTAAGAACATAACTCCTTTCAATGGGTACTACCCACCATCCACACCAAGGTTTCATCCCGGGTTCCATCTAGGAAGGCATTCTTATGACAGGGGTACGGTAGCCTCGCCCACCACAAGATTCTATTTTCATAGATGAACTCAATGTAGCCCGTGAGACAAGTGGGGAAACTCTCTGATCTTTGAGGCAACTTCGCACCCGGACTTCTCGGTCGAGAACTTGTCTCCTTCAGCTGCAATTTTTGTAATTTCTGGCTTTTTTCCTTGCTTCTACACATTCTTGTCCATTCCTCCCCATTTGTTCCATTTTCCGTACCTAATCATATGTATCATCTAAAAAAACCCTAGAATCGACATAATCAAAAAGAAAGAAATAGGGATGCAATTGATGTTATACTTCCGATTATGCACACGAATTAGCACGAAACAAACCTAAATCTGAAGGACAAATAATAACAATTTAAGTGTTATCAACAATCTCCTCTCGCCCTCCTCCCGCGCGAGCTTGTGACCAGAATTGGTCTGTGAACTGACCCGACGCTCTAGGTGAATCTTGGACTAGTGAAATTGACATCTAACCATTGCAATCAGCTACACATTGCCTGAAAGTCCGAGTCTTGGCTTCTATAAACTCCACTCCACCCAACCGGTCGTGAGGGCTTATGATGGAGGAGTATTTTATCAACCAGGTACGATTACAAAGAGCCCGATCAAGTCTTTGGTACAAGCTGCCCCGCTTCCAGGTGAATCTTGGACTAGTGAAATTGACATCTAACCATTGCAATCAGCTACACATTGTCTGAAAGTCCGAGTCTTGGCTTCTTATGATGGCGTTGAAGTCTACGACCAAAATCCAAGGGAGGAAGGCAGCAACTAAGATACGACGAATCTCATTCCATAGGTCAACACGACGCACTTCATTGGGGCTACCATACACTGCTGAGACCAAGATATCCGAGTCTAAGGCCCCACTACGGGCACATCGAATGTGTATCATCTGCTCCTCGTCGAAAAGGGGTGTGACAACCATGCTTTGCTTCTGCCAAAGAACCTTGATGCCTCTCGGTTGACGTACAACATCCACAATCAGACAGTCACCAAACCCCGTACGACTAATCACACTTCTCGCACTAACCCCATTAATATGTGGCTAAAAAATGCAGACAAGGTCGGGTCTATGTGACCTGCAAAAATCCATAAAAAGGAACAAAACGATAATTTCTTGCCCCTAACAGTTCTAAGCTAAGATGTTAGATGTCTAACATAATAAAAATAGAGAAAGACAGAAACTTCCCGAACCACAGCACAGCCGAACCAACCCTTAAGAAGACGAGAGGAGGGAAGCATGCTTCTCCCTTGAAATACCATTACCACTCGTGGATTTTGAATTCTCCACTAATGATTAACTCGTGATGATGGGGACATGCCCCCGTTAGATTGACGTGAATCGATCTTCACTCCCCTACCTGCCTTCATATTGTTTAGAGCTCATCTGTGTGATCTTTCCTTTGACCCTGGAGGAGTGGTTTTGTTTCCCACTAGTTGTTGATTCATTGGTAATCCACATTTTCGTCATGTGTTGTACGGGAACAATACTGAAGCCTATTGGGACCTCCACCAGAACTTTCAAAGCGGGCGCCACTTTGCTAGCATCGTGACCCGCACACCTTCTGTCCTTGACATGTTGAAATCCGGAGGGCTCACCTCACGTGCCTGAATCTCTACTAAGGTTGGATTTCCAGCCTGCAAACGGATCGACTCCTCCATCCATTCCATCTCCCTCACAACTTGCTTCTCGAGCTCCATTTCCACGACGTCCTCCTCAGTTACTAGAGATGAAAATCTCGACCCTGAAGTAACCTCCCTGCTTTGTTTACTCTAGGCCATCTTGGTATTCCATTGACCATGTTGATTAGTTTTCTTCCCATAAGCAGGTTCCAGCTTCTTAGGCGGTTCCTCCACGGTCGGAGGGACAACTGGGTTCGTGGGCGTCTGGGATGCCTTCGGAGAAAGGTAAGACACATTGCTTTTGCATGCCATAGCAGCCACACTTCGTACAAATGTTATGAAGCCCTTCATACTCAATGTAGTATTTCCTTCCCTCAGTGCGGTAGCTTCTCCGCAAGGGTTTTGTCAAATCGACTTGCACGCAAACTTCAGACCTTCCAATGTGGTGAGAACCATGGTAAAGGAACCGGATCGTACCGGCCGGTTCAACCGGTAAAACCGGGAATCCGACCAGCGGCGAAACGATACCCTACCCGCCTCCTTTCTATCGCGCCGGCCGGTTTAATCGGCTTAACCGGCATGAACCGGTATATCGCCCGGTTTAAATCAGACCGGCGGTAATAAAAATATGGTAAATGTCGTCGTACCAGCCTCCTCTCCGCAGCGCCGACCCTCCATCTCTGCCGCGCCGACCCTGCCTCTGCGCCGTGCCGACCCTGTCCCTGCCGCCGGTTGCATGCGGGCTGCGACGGTGGTTCCGGACATCCAGTTCAGTACTGCCTCTCCAGCTACAACGACTGCTTCCCTAGGCCACCGCTGCCCTCTTCTTCCTTCTCCAATTCTGTCACCGTTTCAGACCTCAGCTCCCTCACTTCGCAATTGAGCGACGTTTTCATCTGTAAATCTACCTTCTCCGCCGGATGAGCCGTAGGGTTGTGGCGGTGGAGGACCGCCGGATGAGCCGTAGGGTTGAGACGGTGGAGGAGGGCCGTATCCGTAGGCGTACGGAGGGTGGTAAGGGTAACCAGACATGATCGGCGGTCGGAAATGGAGGGAAAATCGGATTTGGTGTTCGTCCAATTTGGGGGTCGAGGAGAAAGGAATATCTTCTTTGGGTCAGTTACCTGTTCTTGCTTTGCCCGGGTAGTGGGGTAATATAAAAGAGTGAAGGAGAGTGGGGCAGCCGGGCAGGTGGGAGGGAAAGGAGAGAGAGAGAGAGAAAGAGGAGGAAGAATGGAAGATGAGAAAAGATGGGGAAAAGTTGCACGCGGAGGAGTAACCAAGGAAGGTGATAATTGATAAGTGATGGGGAAGTTTAAAAAAAAAATTATTTTTAAAATTTTCTATTAATTTGCTAATTAGTTGTATATATTGTCCGGTATATTCCGATACATCTGGTATTACTCCAAGACGATACTCTGATTTTGGCGGCACCGTTTTTTGACAGAAAATATATTTTATTATTACAAAAACGGTATTTACCGGTATGAAACGGTTGAACCATGATCGTACCACAAAATACCCTACCAGAAAGGAATCCGGTATGATGTCCGGTACGTTTTCCTTTACCATGGTGAGAACGCAGTCCTCCCATGTTGCTCTGCTGTGTGTATAAATTTTGTATTGCTGCTCAAAATCCCTTATCGAGCAACTAAAATGATCCCACTCGAATTGGAAACACTTCAGTGGGTAATCTGTGGCTTAACTCATCTTGTTACGCGATGCAAGAGAGTGGGGAATTCAGCAGTGGCTCAATCAGAGTCGAAGCCAGTAGAAACCTAGTTGCCAGCGATGTTAACCAGTATTGGCTTTCTCACCCACTCAGCAAAGGCAAGGCAGCTGGGAGGACTGCGTTCTTCCAATCCCAGCAACCATAGGCAATAGCTTCATGAATTGAAGGTCTGCTATCAACAACACAACCTATTCACACAATTTAGGTAGCGCATATCATATTTCTATCTACTAAATACATAAATAAAAACAAATCAATAGCAAAGCCTAAGTGACAGACATCTCCAAATCTGCAACACCCTGCCGGTGTAGCTGGAAAATACCATGGATTACACTTTATAAACTCATTACATGCCACTTTGTATGTCTCGCAGTACTTGCAGAAATATCAGAAGACAGCTGTGTAAAACTCAAGCCTACTCAAGTGTTGCAGCATCGCATTGATGATTCGACTTAGTTCCCTGCATCTTCGACTAGTCTTTCCTGAAACAAGGATTCACATGGTGTACGACAGTACATTAGGGTTTCTGCACGAATCATGGCGAACATGACAGAGGGCCTCAAATGTGCACAGCTTGAAGAGAGCAAGTTAAGCTGAACCAAGAGTTACCCATAGAGTTCTTCCATTGTTTCTTCCAGGCGATTAACATCAGCACCCACAATTTCAGCTGCCTTTTTGCCATTTTGATAGAAGTGGAGCGTTGGCTGGATAGCAGGGAAAATTCGATATTATTATATAGAAATCACCACAAGAAAAAAGGGGGAACACCAAAGATGCAAATGAACACGCAATCCTGCCTTTATGCAGTTGAGAAAATAAACAGATAGACTACACAAAGGGTGGTCGTCATTGGCAGAATTCAAATATAAGCAAAATGAGAGACTGCCAAAAGTGATGCACTAATGACCAGCAATGAAAAGCATATAACGGCAACCACACATTCTCCAACGAAGAGCTATGGCAGGAACTAACGGCTTTCCAAGTTCATACAAACATGATGATTGGAACTAGAAAATGACATTGAAGAAATACTATGCAGCAAATAACATCCCATCCACCTTGAAGGCAAAAAGAACTATGTCAATCAATATATGAATGAATGCGAAATAACAAAAAGGTACTCATCCACCAGTCTTCTTATTGACCAGAATTGAAAGGTCCTGAAAGGCTTTTCCACGGCCACTACATTATGCACTTCATATAAGTGTTACCAAATTTAATATCGAGTATGAGATAATAGCAAAAGCTGTAGTGCAGTAGATACTAAATAAAGGCAAACAAAAAATACAAAAGGGCAAGTAATCCTACCACAGAAGTTATAAACAATCTGTTCAGCACGCTGTTCAAGCCTTCCTGCAGAATGATAAGCAGCACAAGTTTACAAAGGTAAACCAAGTCATATGAGGAGTTGTTAGACATTCGCTGTTACGAGGAACTCAAACTATACGCGACAGGTACCTGATCAATGTCGATCTTGTAAGTCGGTACATGAGGGTATTCCTTGCTAAGTTGGGTGACGACAGGAGATATAAACTTACCTGCAACAAATATTAACAGGAACCATATCACGAACATGTTATTCAGAAAGGAATTCGACACCCATCAAAGAAACCAGCTAAACTTGTCTAGACTGAGGTGGGTTCAGAAAATTACATGGGCCACACCACACAGCGGTAAAGTAGTAGACTGCGGGCAACGACTTATCTGTTACAAAGACGAACAGATTTGACACAAATTGTTAGTAGCATGAAGCAGTCGGCAACCCTTTACAGCAAATGAAGGAAAACAGCCGACCTTGAACGTCTTTGAGAGAGCTATTAAACTCCTCTTCTGTCTTAATCAGCACAACGTTTGATGAACCTGAACCTAACTTAACAACGAGAGTAAGCAAAAAGAAGCTACAAACTTGGCCAAAAAGAAAATCCCCAATCAACCAACGCGAAAAGAGGTTAACGAGGTGCACCTGCCGATGAGCTGAAGCTCCTATTGAACTGCAGTGGAGTTGAGGCGTGGAAGACAGCTGAGGCCGTGGCTGCGGTGGCGAACGAGGGACTGCCGAGGAGGAATTTCCAGGATATAGGAGCATTTGATGAGGAGATTAGGTTCGCCAGGGGAGCAGCGGTTTCCCCGAGAATCGGCGGCGCGGAAAGTCCGGCAAGATTCGAGGCCCCCCGTCGTAGAATCGTTCCGATCACTGAGCTCCACTTCATCCTCTCCGATGGTGATTTCCCTTGCATTCGTGTCGGTAGTTGCGATTTACGTTCGCGGCCTGTGGGGAGCAGTTGTAGGAGTTGGTATCGAAGTTGGAGTGTTGGACCCTAGCCCAATTACATATTGGGCTTTCAGGAATCGTGAGAATTCGACCCCGTGTCATTTTCATCAATAAATATTTTAGAAGGTCCGGTCGGAACTGAAAAATCGGGACCGAACAAAACCTGATAGACTGTTTTAGCGGTATAAAAGGAAATCACAATATTAATACAAAATGTATTACTATTAACTTTTCCGATATAACCTTTGAGATGGTTTCACAATCATTTATTCATATGCGTTGGCCAATGCAGTGACTTCCGTTCAACGTTAACAAATTACTGGTTCTTTGACAACATGCAATGAATCACCAACGACTAATTTGTTCCCTCTATTCCCCAAAATCCACAAGGAATGACTGACAACAGAGAAACATGATTACTGCTAACGAAGAGGTGCATAGCTCGTTTTGCAAAGGTAACACATTTGGATTCAAAGTGACGATGGCATAGAAAGGGCTTCGATTATCTGGCCTTCCAATTTGTCCTCGTCAACCCACCCCGAACTCTTCCGCTGTAACAGCTCCTTAGCACTCTTTTTCTTCTCTTCCCTCTTAGCTTCTTTCATTCGCCAATTCTCCAGCTTCTCTGCACGCTCTTTCAACTGCATTCACCACGATCGACCAACATATCAAACATCCAAAACAATAACACACCCAACGCCAAACCGATCGATCGAACAACATATCAAACATCCAAAACAATAACGTGCACAATGTCAAACCGATCGATAGTTACTCCGTCTGTGCAACAAAGTGCACAACATCCCAACTCATCAAACTTTTTAGGCGATGTAAACAACTCCTCTTTGGAGGACTCAAATACAGAGTCAGTATAGATTCGGGAATCTAGTAATCCTTGTAATCCACCCTACCAATGTGGAAAACAGCTATGCCAGACAACTGGTTGCCGTCTGTTTGACAAGCCATAGACAGGAAGGAAACAAGCTGTTCCACAAGTATTAGATTCAGAAGACATAGAGAGAGTAACTGCGAAAGATGGGGGGGGAAAACACAGGCACAACCCAATTGGTATAAAGGATGCATAGATAAGCAAGCAACAGATGCAAAAATGATTGCTGCCAATATTGAACTCTTCAACAAAGTAAACACAGCACCAAACATGTGACTGCTGCATACTTGTAGTGATGAGTGCATAGAATATCAGCTACCATGTTTCACTATGATCATCAACTTTTCTCTCATACCGCCATCAATCAAGAGCAAATATAAATCTCAAAACTTTCAACTGATACAGGGCGGCTCATTATTGGACATCATTTACTCCCATTCCCATCCTCAAAATTAACAAGATCAAAAAGAGGGCAGCAGAGCGCTTATTTACTCTTGAAGTTGAATCTCACTGACAGAAAGAGACTCAAAGCCGTTGATCAAACAACATCAACTATTTTGCATCATACAGCCAGATACTGAAGACAAGCTCTTTGCCTCATTCCACCAATGTCTTACACTCACCTCTAAACCATCTGAGACAACAAAAAATGTCACCTAATGACCTAAACAACGAATTAACTCTAACATCAGATTTCCTCAACGTACAACCCATGATTTCCAACGTATTTATCCAGAATTCGTTCACTAAGTTATTGACAAAGAACCCCAAATCGACTTAATAGAACTTTTCTACACGGATCTACTTTGATCTAGACTGAACTCGACTCAAGGCAACCAAGTATGTCGACATTTCTAACATAATATATCCTCAATGTACCAGTACCCTAGGCATTTCTCGCGAAAGTCTAATTCGTCCTCTGAACTAGTTCTCCGTCAATGAATTCAAAGGCGAAGTAGGGTTTGGCGGAAAGAGGACATACCAGGGTTTGGCGGAACTCCTCTTCAGCAACTTTACGCTCTTCCGCTCTAACCTTGGCCGCCTCAGCCTTCAGCTTACGGCGCTCCTCGTTAGCGATCCTGATGGCCTCTTGTCTAGCTTCGTCCTTCCTCTGCTTCTCCATGCGCATGGCCTCCATCTCCACGATATATTCCTTGCGCACCTCCTTCACTTGCTTCGCATACTGTCTTCGCAACAGCGCCAGTCTCTTCTCCGCCTCTTTCGGATTCTTAGGCGCCTCCCAGCTTCCCAAGAAAGAATTCGCCTCCAGGTAATTGTGAGTTTCCTTGTGGTTGTTTTTGCCGGTGGCGACGGAGGAGAAGAGGCGGCGCCCCGTACGAACGACGCCACGAGCGGAGGCGACAGTGGCCATTTTTGGGATTTCGGTGAAGAATCGTCTACGAGACTAGAGACGGAACGAAGACAGAATGATCTTCCTATTCCTTCTTTACCAAATTGGACTGGTTGGGTCGGGTAGGTTACTGAGCTTATCGGAGCTTAATCTGCAATTAAAATGAAATGTAATAACTTAAAGCCCAAAATAAACATACATATAATTGAATGGGCCTGCAATTTGCTCATCAGAAGGCAGCCCGTAACTGGTGACAAAAATATACACCGATACGATTAATTGTCCAAATTCGATTAAATAGGATGAAATCCAAACTAAATGAATTATTCGGGTATGAATAAAATCAAAACTTGAAATTTTTGGGTAATGGATGGATGATTTTCATACTATTCAACCCAAATTCGTCCGAACGCCAATTATAAATACACATGCTTATTTGGTCTTATTCTATCTCTCTCAGCATATTCGATATTGTAGTACATATTTAACATTTTAACGAATTCATGTTCTTATTATTGTTTCTTCTAAAGATTGGTGACCTATAGTTATAACTTTGTCATTTGCATAAAGTGAATATACTCGTTCTTGATTGTGAAACCTCCCCTTACTACCCAAGTTAAAGTTTTTTTTCTTGAATGATGGTGAGGGGTTATTTGTCAGTCCAAGCTGTAATGGTGTTTAAAAGATTGATTACCAACGCCACATGCCTTATTTGCTCAAAAAGGTATGTAAACTGTTGTTCATTCCTTTCTTCTTTGCCGAGTATCCGTGAGTTAAGAGAGCTAGCTAGCCTTGCTTTGCTCAGGGCTCGGTTGTCCACCCTTGACCATGTTGGTCGTTCGAAGGAGTTGTTCTTTTCTTGTCATTTATCAGAAGATGTCATTGATGATGTTATTTTCTTTTGTTGGCGACTTTGGAAATCACGTTATTGGACAGTCCACAAATTAATTCAATATCATGGGAGAGCTCTACTTCATCAATATCATGCCCAATCGAAGGAATGACGAGCTGCTTCAACACTAGTGATGCTCGGAGTGACAAAAATCAATCTGAGGGATATGTGGAAATGATACTCAACACCACTATGCAATTTCATGGTGGCTCATGCCTTAGGGGTGCAGGTTTGGTTCCTTTTGACAGGGCATCCCGATCGATCTGCGGTGGTGGAATTGGATTTGCAAATTTTCTGATAATGGGCCAGTACTATTTACTTTCGGCAAACATTACACAGGTATTATTGATCCCTTCTTAATGAAATTATTATTGGCATTATGATTTGCAGTCTCATGGTGTTTAACACATGGTTATACTATTGTGCATTTTTGTAGGGATTGCCAACCTTTGGTTCGGCGAGTTCGAGAGTGGGAGGTAGCTCATAGCTAAGGTGGTGCTCTGCTCAAAGAAGTTCGACATACCATTTCCAAATTTTATTTTTTTCTCTTGTACTTTTACTCCTCACATGTACAATAGTCTTGTCCATTTACTAACTACCATGACTCTTTCATCGACAGTTCGACTATTTTCCGATCGTCGCGTTTGGTTGTGGGTTGTTCTTTAACTATCTTTCAAAAACTTTATCTATGGAAAAAGTGAACATACAAATAGTAACATATTGGGTGAAATAATGGAGACCAAGTATTATTATTTATGAGTACCAAAAACCCAAACGAATATGAGTTTGTTTTATTTATTACACTAATTTTTTGCATGCAAGTGTGAGCCTCATCCAAATAAAATTAGGATAGGATAACAAATATCCGCTATTTGTTGACTAGTTGCCATCTCTATATAGAACCACTTCATCCAATCATCCTCTCTTACAATCTCCTCTCCTTCTCCAAAATGGGTTTTTTGTTCTCTTTATTTGTTTTCCGCCACTTTGAGTTGTGGATTCCTTCCTAGCTAGCCTTACGGGAGTGTGGGATAGTGACTACCGGTGTAGTAGGTGTAGGGCGGTCACATACCGCATTGTATAAATTACCATGAAGCAGTTCTCTATACGCCAAACACGTGAAAATGTATGCTACAAGTAATTGATGATGATTGAATAATCAGACAATTTTCTATATGTAAGTGTCATCAAGTTCCTAACTATTGCAGGGAGTCAAGTCACTTGGGAAAACAATATTGTTTTCTTTTATGAATGAGTATGAGTGTATAATGGTGACACAAATTGGTGTCAACAAATGATTACATTAAATGAGAAGAGGTGAAGAAGGAAAAGATAAGAAAGAGATATAATAGGCCAAAAGTGTAGTAAAACTAGAAATCCAGGTATCGTCTCTCAAAGATTGGTACAACCTTATATTCTATCAATTTTATAGAGCAAACTACAATTAAATCAAATCCTACTGTCGTAGCTCAATGAATTAACTATTTAGTCTGAAAATCGATATCCCAATCAAGATCGCATAGTACCTTATTTATTCCACTTTCGCTTCGATAAGTTACTATGTCGCATGAAATGTGTTCAGTTATTAGGGTTTCACTGTCGCTAATAACCTAATTAACTCCAAATCGTTGTATTGGTGGACAGTCAACACAAAGTATTAAGCAATTCCATGCAATAGAAATTGAAAGGAAAGACATACGAATCAATCCATCAAGTCTAGAAATAGCTACATCCTATGGTGTTTCCCCCCAGAAATTGGAGTTTAGTTCATGATAAAATAAGATCAATCAATAAAGTATTGATCATCATGCCCTAAATTAAGGATGATACCGAGCAGTGGCAGGCCCAGGATTGTTAAATAGGGGTGTCGCCGATAAAAAATTATAAAAAATAAAATAATTAAATATAAATATAAATTACTGGAAATTC